AACACAATGATATGGAGGAAATTGGATCTGATCTGTTTGAGATACAAGTGGGTTTAGGTAAATGGACACAAGGCAAGAGAGGTGAGGGGAGTGTGTGAGTGATGTGATAGTAAGAAGTGGCTACTATAAAATTGCAATGAGTATTGTCGTTCTTCAGATAATTTCCTCTTCCTTCAATATCCTTAGTGGATTGGCCTGGGTCTTTTTAACCCCACCGCTCTATTTCAACAGTAGCATATGCCTAATGGACTTGAAGCCTGAAATAGACTTGCTGGTGGCTATCAGACATGATCTTCCTGGCCTCGGTCCTCCCCGACAGTAGCCCCGCTAGTCACGATGCCTGCTACTTGAATCACAAAAGCTCAGTGTCACCAGGGAGTGGAAAAACAATGGTGATCACGACTCAGATATGGAGAAATAAGACTCCCCTGGCTGCTGATCGAGGGAACGCACAAAGATCCAGACATTAAAAATGGATGCTGGCACAAGCACACGCATGCACATGCGAGCAGGTCCGTATACACAAAAGGACAATGAAATCCCCTGCGAAATCCAGCTCTCCCTCGATCACCACACAACACACCTTGATTCCTTCCACCCATCCCAGCATCCCCCTCCTACAGTATGTTCAAGCATCACAAAGGGGATTACACAGGTGCAAAAATACTGCATGATCAGCTTATTAATGCAATTTTCAAGGCCAGGATTTACATGAGCGTGGACTGAATAAGCCTTCAGATCAGCATTGTCTTTTATTCCATACACAATTTGATTTACATATTCAGCAACAAATTAATTTCTGTAGCTTTCATTTAGGTAACAAAAAGCTAATTACCATTCTAAAGAGCAGAGACACCCTCTCTTAAGATGCATGCATATAAAAAGCCTTTATTTTGATGGTAGTGGGAAGGACAGAGGGAACTGCGTGCTAGAAGAAGAGGAGGATCCTCTCATACTGAACAACCTGACTCAGTCATTTTTCATTTCCTTGCCTTCCCAAATCCTCAATACAATTACTATCCAATGATTTCCAGTCGTGCCAATCCTGCTGATTAAGTAGCATCAAGATAAGGTGGTGTAGAGTGCTGGACAGGAAGAAGAAACATATTGACCGTCCGCATTGAGCTGGTTTATACAGTCATCTCTGGGTGCATGTACATGCACAAGTACACAGTTGACTGTCCTTTAACATACACCATTCTCCAAGATCAGCCCTTTTGAGGGGCGACAGTGTTGCGGTGGGTAGAGCAGTCGTCTCCCAACCAGAAGGCTGTAGGGTTGAATCTCGGTGCCTGCAGTCCACATGTCAGTGTCCTTGGGCAAGACACTGAACCACCTAAGTTGCTCGTGATGGCGGCGCGTATGCACGCAGCAGCCCGGGGCCCTTGGCTCCAAACAAAATTTCGTTGTATGTGATACAATAAAACAAAGCTTCTTTGAAAGGTAAAACAAAACCTCGTCCTCTTTTGTCTTGATTTCCTTCCTTCCATTAGACTCTGCCTGTATCTCTTTATGTGGGAGCATTGTATTCATCCTCCCCATTACCTCCAACCCACAGAACATGCACGCACACACACACACACATACACACATCAACTTGACATGTCACAGAATGACATGTACAAAGCTCTCCCTTTCTTTTCTCCTCCCACCTGTTTGGCCCACCGCGGCACCCCCGAGGGGAGGCAAAGCAGAGGAAATGAGTTCAGGGTGACCCAGAGGTGACTCCCTGCAGACTGTTAGAAGCCGCTAGTTAGCATCTGTCTGCTTCCAGACATAATGACAAAACTGTGGCACATCCGAGTCTGTCTTTTCTTGAAAAAGAAGAGGAGGAGGAGGACAAGAGGACTGGATGAGGACACAAGGCGCTTGTCGGCAGAAGCAAGAAAAGTAGAGCAGTAATGTAACAGCGTATTCCACGGGGACATATGGAATGGCAACACACAGCCTCTTCACAAAGTAATCTGTGCTAGTGTTCAAGGCAGAATGTGTCGATCTGTAGCCTGCTGAGCCATGCACCAGCTGGGCCATGCATTGATTTTGAAACCAATATGCACTGCTGTGGCTGCACTCAGCTGGTATAGCTAACATATATAGATGTATGGAGCATGAAAGGAAATCATGGAGGAGAGCAAAACTGGAAGAGTGACCCTCAATCATTGTTGTGTGTAAGAGGGTTTGTCAGCAGGGCAGTTTGGGTGCTCAGGCTTTAAAGCAGGAACAAAGAGGTGGCTGCATGGGGGAAGGGCAGTGGGGGGATGGTAAGGGTGATGCCTGCCTGCCTGATTAGCTTTTATTCTAACATCAATGTGCATCAATAAGCAAATGGTCCCCATATGCTGAAGTGACCATATAATCCTTCTCTTTCTGTCAAATACCAAGATCGATATATGGAGGGCTGATGCCTGCCCAAAAAAGTGACTATTGCTTCCATTTCCCTTTAACCGTCTGTCTTTCAAGTATACATTCATTTTACTACTAGGATCAGACATTTTCTCATTCTCTGAACAGAATCAGAAATCCTCCTAAATACAATTCTGGATTGTGCATGTATGTGTGTCTGTTGACTGCATTTGTAACTTGTACACAAAACCTCTATTTAGCAGACGGAATGGAAGAAAGTAGCACAGGCAACTGTATTTTGTTAGGCTATCAGAGAGCAGTGGCTTAATACAGCTTAGATGTCATGGAAAATGTCTAGTGAGATGCCAGAGGAGGAATTAAGGCAGCCAGGTCTGTCCTCGCTAAAGAAGCTAGTCATCACAGTCAAAGTGAGGCAGCTAGCTGGACTTGCATACCACAGCACATTTAAATTATAGGGCCCTGGGAGAGCTGTTAAGCAGAAACAAGAGAGGGAGAAGAAGAGGGAGATGGAGAAAGGGGGGTCGGGAGGATCCCATTTCGATGATTGCTGGGGCTGAATTTCCACGAAACATTTTCTAACTTGCTCCAGATAAGTCTGAAAAAGCCCTGGAAGCTGTCATGTTCTGTCTGGTTGGTTGGCTCAGCCAGTTACCGTGGCTCTTCCAGAATCGTGACAAAGAGGAGAAGACATAAGGCAATCTGCTTCAGTGCAGTCTTCCATAGATACACATACATATCCTGGGAAAGGACCCATTCTGGAAATGAGATCTCACATCACCAAATATATGGAGGGGTGAGGGGATAGGAGAGGTCCAGGTATGCACTTCTTCTAAAGCTACCACAGCTAACGACTGCCCCACATCTCCCTAAGGCTATTTTTGGGTGTGTGGGCATATCAGTTATCGTGTCAGACACTTTTAAGAGCTAAGTGCATTGATTGATTTTTGATAGCCCCACAGTTAGGTGGGGGAGGAAGAGGAAATGAGGGAAAGCTTTTGTGTTCCTATTTTCTAATCTCAGATCCATAATCTCACCACAATCTATATCGTTCCATTCTGCTTCATGAATTATAAAGAGGAATTCTCGGGATCAGAACACACTAAAGCAGCTTTATGCCTTTATTTGAACCTTTTACCCCATTATCCTTCTTGCTTTGCCCTTTCTATCCCCACTGCAGGATTATGATTAACATTGCGTGAATGTTTATAATGGACCTAAGTGTAACAGGGTTACAGTATGTGGCGAGAGAGAGGCACAGGAAGAAAGGCAGGGTGATAAATCTGCTCTTCTGGGTCAGTTGAATCTGCCTCTGGTGAAAATGACACCAGATGACTTGCTTCCAGCCCACTACCATCCTGACATACACACATCCACTAACAGACACGCACACATCCACTTACACACACCTACGCACATGCGGTGATCTGCTGTCAGTGCTACGAGATGCACGCTGAGTTCACACACACAACAACACTAGGATTTCCACCATAAAATTATCAGCAGGGAATGAAGCCCTACCAAAATTACGCTCTGCTATCTACGAACAGCCCACATCCTCTGATGGAACCCGGACCAAATGTATAGTGTCATTCACTGGACGCATTTTTTCTGCTGCAACTGCCGCATCGCTGACACGCAAAACCCCTCTCATCAGCATGTAGTTTCACCATCTTGTGCTGTTTTGACATCAGCTGGCAGTGCATCACTGATGCAGTTACGTACGTCTCAGTGTTACCCAACACTCCAAAAGGAAGTCGGTCTGAGTCAGTCAGTCAGCTGCAGAGTGTTTCATACGTCACTGTTGTCTGTGTGCACTCAGCCTTATCACCTCTCTTCTCGCATGTGCTCTTTCTGCGGCCAGCGCACAGAACTCTTTGCCTTTTTTGCTTTACTGTCACTACTGATCACTTGGGTGAGTCATGTCATAATGACTCAAATTCATACTGAATTTCAGTAGAGCTGCCTCACTGTAAGTACGGGGTGTAGGCCCCGCTCGCGCTACACATGCTCGGCTTCCAGGAACCTGAGTGAGAAGGCTGTCATCTGATGAACAAGCACTCTGTTTATGAGTGAGTGAGAATATACTCAATCTCCATGCAGCCACAGTTCACTTCCTGTAAACTTGTCTGTGCATGTGTGTGTGTCTGTTAGAGCATGAAATACAGAAGTGAAGAGAGATTACAAATAAAGGTAGAAACACAATGGTGGAAGTGAGTCTTATCACAGCAGCTCACAAATAAGCCTTTCTTGTGCAGTGTTCACCCTGGCTTCCTGCAGCAGTGTGCACACATACACACTATCACATATGTTACTAGGATGCAGGAGGGTGTTGCTGCTTATTATATCCTAACAGCTCACACTGGATGTCTAGCTTGGCTTGGTTTGTTCAAGAAGCTGAGATTAGACAAGTAAAGAGGCTTGTGCTTGTGCAGCCTGCTCATCTCATCTCTCTCTGTCATATCTGGGTGTTGCTCTGTGCTTAACCAAAGCTACAACCTCTCATACACTTCCCAGCGCATGCACACACACACACACACAAAAGCTTCAAAGTTCAGTTTGGATTACAGCCACAGTAGTATGCTAACTTTGCTACATCCACATTATTCCAGATTCAACACAGAGAAACAGTCTGTTACCTGAGTTTCTGTTAGGCTCTCCAAGGCTTGCATTACTGACTGTTCGGGTCTGGATGCTTGAGACTGCAAAGAAGAAAAGAATGTCTGTTTTAGTGGAATTAAAAATAAGCAATCAACAATTATGTAAAGCAAGAACTATGCAAGATATGCTTACACACTGTATTTGTTATATAATATATATACACCGCTCAAAAAAATAAAGGGAACACAACACAAGTACCATTAATCCTGCTTCAACTGTTGGTACAATTGTTAACTTGCTCCCATCAGAGATGCCTAGGTCCTGGAGTTTGCCTGAACTTAGTCGCCTGCAGGGTTAGAGAGAACAAGATAATTAGACTGTGCTGACAATATCTTCTCACTTCAGAAACACAAACACCCTTCAGCCCGGGGAATGGGGGGGATTCAGACAGACTTCAAAACTAGTTTGTAAAAGAGCCGTGGGTGAAAAGCTCCATGAAAGAGAACTATTGATTGGGCTGTCATATTTCAATTTCAAGTATAGTGGAGCTTGACAACTGCTCACAGTGGATATTTGGCACCAGTGCCACTTGTCTAAGCGGAGGTAAGTATTTTGTACAAATGAGGTGCAGAAACTCCAAGCTGAAACCAAAAACACAGCACTTTTAATAGTTATTAAAAAAATGGTAGAATGTCACTGCATCTATTGTTCTTAGCTGAACTGATGAAAATTCATTCTAAAGAGGATTTAGCCAGGCAATAAATAATACATTTTTAGAGCTTTACTATTTAATGTTTGGTGCAGAGCAGGAGTATCTGTTCAACAATCAGGAAACCTTTTTTTCTTGCAGGTCACGATGCACTGAAACCACTCACATCCAGGTTGTAGTGCACCTTTACATCCTATAGTCTTATGGAGGATGTTTAGGACAGTCTGCTGTGCAGGCATGACCCAAATCTCACCCCATGCAACTGAACAAAGGCCTAAGCACTGCCTTGCTGTAGGTGTACAGTTTGAGGTGCAAGAGGGGATTAAAAGGGGGGGTTTAGGGTTTTAAAGGATCATGTGATTTATTTGGTGATTACAATGGATAGGAGGGGATGGGGGTTTGAAAAAAAATGCTGACTGTTTGCCTGTACTAAAGCCCGACTCTCATTTTTGCATAACAGCACCTGCACTATTGTTAGCTCATTTAATCTGGGAACTGCCTAATACTGTGGGTTTTTCTTAGTTTTAAATAATAATGACTTTAATTGTGCCCTCATTCATGCAGCTCTGTCCTAATGTGCTGTTACAGGAGCATTTCCTGAGCACTCATGAGACCGGCCAGCTAATATAGGCTACCTCACACCAAGAAATCCACTGAAAGCATTAAGGGGTTAGTGTGCTTGCAAAAGATACTACAATAGAATCTGACACATATCCCAATCCACACAAAGGATATATCCACCTTAAATATTACAGTAATATGCCAAAGATGAGCCAAGTGTATATGGCTGCAGTAGCAAAGTAAATAAAGGACAGACTACCAAGTTTGCATTTAACTGTCTGATTCACACAGCATTAGCAATTCAGTCAAGCTTCAGTGTTTCTAAAAAAGTAGGAATAAATGTGTGCAAATCTGCACATCGCCCTATCAATACGGTTCCAGTGACCGGTGCATCCACGGTATCTTGCGTCCTGATGGTCAGAAGTTTCCTTAAATGCATTGATCACGGAGGGTTGTGTCTGATGCAACCGAGAGCAGTATAAATGAAAACGAGTCACTGCAGGGCCAGAGGATGAACGCACCCAAACTCGGTTCACATTTCTAACTGTGGAATAGCCTGTACGTTACAGTTTATGTGGGCACAGGCTGGCATTTAAAGACAAAAGCATTATTTAATGTTTTTCTGCCATTGGTTTTCCATATAGGCCTATAGAAAGGCTATACTACCCACAGGGAAAACATTCAGTTATGCTTAAATCAGGTTTACTCACGTTTCTTTGTGCAGAAGAGCCAGTCTCTCCTTTGGTACTTTTAGTCTTTGCGACAGCCTCCTCTTCAGTCCCTCCACGGTCTCCTCCAAGGGCAAAGAGAGCTCGAAGCGTGTGCCGGTGGTGGAGTGAATGTACAGATTCATGGAGGGCTCAGTCGGGACAGCCTCGCAGGAGGAAGCCCCGCGACTGGTGCAGCTCCGGGCGCTGGGATGCTGGTCCATCCGATAACCTGTGGTCAGAAAAGGGGGAGACAAGACGAGCAGAGCCCGGGGGTAAAGAGGGTGAGGAGAATGGTGAAGCAGATCCGTCGCCTCGGCTACCGTCCCTTGTTCTGCTTGCAAATCAAAGGCAGCATTCAGAGAGCCTTTTCTCTGTCTCTAGTTCTTAGTGCCTCCTTTCTCTCGCTCTCCGAGAATCAGTATAAAACAGTCTTCTGTTCTCCGGTCGATATCATGAGAATATCCTCCCAGGAAAGTCAACTGCATAAGGCTCGGTTTTACTTTCTTTGTTGCTGTTTCCAACGTGCAAACAAAGTCTTCCTAAATGCTACATATGTATGCAAATGCCCGAGAGAAACCAAGTATGCTGTCAGCAAAATGCCACTGACGCTCATTTACGCATTTACCTTTAAAACAAAAACCGCAATGACTAATAAGGAAATAATCAAAGTCCTCTTGAAGTTTTGTAAGCTACTGCAAGCTTTAGAGGACAAAACACACAGTCCGTAAGCTGCAGAGCTTCGTACGGCTGGTAGCGAGATAATCTCCGACGCGTACTCATACCCACAGTAGCTCCAGTGAAACATCGACAATGAACATTGTCACAAAGTACTTCCACCATCGATAAAATACGCCCACAGCCCAGAGGCAGTCCGACCAATCACAGGGCAGCTCCTGCTGATCTTAGCCAATAAAATGACGAGATCCACACCCACGTGTAGGGTAGGCGAGTTTAAGCCATTCATAATAAATTACAGCAAAGAACAAAATGCGTACCCATAACCACAGTAGCCTTCGGTAGCTCTCCCTAACCTGATATCCGTGGTCCTTTAGAGGTCACTGGAGGATTTAGGAGGACCCAATACAGATGACGAATTGTTTACTTTTTGCTAACTTGCTATTAGGCTATTACTTATGTTTTCGATGTAGCTACACCAGTATGTAAAACTAACTGCTCAAAATAACCAAAAACAACAACTAAATTACAAACAAATATCTTTTCTGAAGAGATGTTCGGGAGCACCATAGTTTGCATAAAGATTAATCTTAGATGAATGACTGTAATTAACATAAACTATGTTTTGCTCGGTCTTTCACTGTCTTTTTTCCTGTTGCATGTGAATCAGCAGCGTCAGTGTGAATGTGGGTATTTAATGCCTTGGTATAAAGACCACTCCTTACTAATAAATCTAAGTTATCAGGTGGAGTGTAATGGCATGTATAGTGCTGAGGCCATCCTCTTTCCCTCAACAACATTCAGAAATTATTCAAATGATCACAAATAGTACGCAAATACACATCGGAGGGGGTGTTCTCCTCAGGGACAACCATGCCGGATAACTGAGAGTATAAAGAGTAAATACATGTGCCAGTAAAAGACTGAGAAAACCTGATGTGTAAAGGTACGTGATGTGCATGAAGTATTCCTACATGCAAGAGGTTGCAACCGTGCTGCGCAAATTCATGTTTTCTAGTCTGGGGTGACAGATAAATGTAATGGGCAAAATCCCCAAGAAAAGTAAAATGAACGGAGCAAGGGACAGGTTGATATTGTTATTCCATCTATAACACACATACACAAAGTTCACGTCCATAGGTTCTTGCAGCACAAGCTTTAAAACAAAAAGAAGGTACTCGTTCGCCATCCAGTGGCCAAGAGGGGAATTTTCACAATCAAAACTCGCAATTGAGTCATAGTTTACTTGTGTCAGACAACGGTAGATCATTTATTTCGCACATTATATCAAGCGTTTATCTGTCAACAATATGCACTCGCTTACTTTTGCTTTAGGGTCAATCATACAATCGTCTTATCCACTCAACATGGCTGACACACTACAGAAGGACTTAATGGGGTTGTTATTGTGCTACTAAACAGACAATTAAATAAGTCACCTACCAGTTATAATCTACAGCGGACTAACAGTGATATTCTACTGTCTTTACTAATTTGATCATGTTCACAGTTTTAGCATGGAAAGCAGATCATCCTGTCACTTGCCAACACGCTTTTATCGATCCGCGATCGACTGTTTGTCTCTATTCAGTGTCTTACCCATCAACACAAATAGAGCACATGTAAGACTTTTATAAAGGGCTTATCTTCTCGGTGAACATTCTAAAATCGGATAGAATTACTGCGTGGACGTGATGTGTAAGTGTACTCACCAGTTATTGTTGCGAAAACTGTGAAGTTTCGCGTATAAGTCTGTTGTGTTCCAGTCTGTTCCCCCAGCTTTGGCATGTAAAATAAACCCAGACAGTGATCGAACTCTTACATAAATCCAAACACTTCAATATCCACAAGATTTTTCTCAGTAATCCTCTGACAGCCTCGTGCGTGTCCAGCGCGCGCCTTTACGCACTAGACCTCGGGACTCCTGGCCAATAAGGATCTGCGGTTATGTCCTACGCCTGTCGCGTGCCGTTGGTACACCGGTGTCTTTCTTGGTAAAAGCCTAGCCGGGAAGGTGAGACACCTCTTACCGATCTCTTCTCGGATATGGGTGGAGAGTAGCGTTCTTGTTATGTCAGCATGTGGTTTAAGGTGGCCTCGCTGGGCTGTAACTGCCTCAGTCCAACATGTTCTTCCCGGTGGGAAAGAATGTGCTTACGCAAAGCGGTAACAGATAAAGATATCCGACAGTGTAAATGACGTGGCTATCTGAACAGCAGATAAGGCTTTTATGCCAAAATAGAAACAGAACGTCAGCTTGCGCTCTGCCACCTTAACGAAATGTCAATGAAATTAATGCTATGGTGATATAAGGGCTGTTGACCGCCTTTGACGACACAGAAAAATGTCACCGGGCAACTGAGCAGGTAAACAGGCTCCTTGGATACAAGGGCACAACGCACATAAATAAAAACTTTACTGGCACGTTTCACTTAAGTGTTTGAGGGAATGCATTAATCATACCAGCTTGCTGGGAGTTTTAGGAATGTTTTTCAAAAAAAAAAAAAAAAAGCAAAAGCAATAAGTAAAACCACTGATAGCTTATTCATAGAAACCTCGCGTTATAGAAAAACTTGATATAGTATATAGATATAGGCTATTGCTCGTTTTTGTATTAATCAAATAGACAACAGTGGAAATATTCTTAAGGCATAGTAGAACAATATAAAATATATTGTATTACACATAAAAGTATTGCCAGTTAAACTGAGACAAAGCTTTACAAGCAAAATAACGTATTATGCAGAACTGCACTTTTTATAATACAATACATAATCTACTACTGTCGATGATACAGTGACGATTAAATGTTACAACTGAGCTAGTTTTACACACAGTCCCATTGTTTAATCTATTTAAATACCATATGTTAAAGTGTTAATACATTTATCAGATTGTGAAATCTTAAACTGCAAAGTATGCAGTAATTTTAACAGTGAAATAAATGCAGCAGTGTTAAGTGCAACGAAGCAGACGAATGAAATAGCACAGAATGGAACAACCAGCTGTTTGTACTTCAGTACAGTATTTGAATAAATGAACTTTCTACCACAGAATGTAGACGTATTATATTTTAGAGCAGGATGTTTTATGATACCTGAGCACTAAAAAATCATGTCATGCGCTAAAAAACAAAACAAAACAGTTTACTCTGCTTATGTATTTGTAGATGGAATACATACAGTACATTCATGGAATTCAATTATATGTGACAATCATCACAATAAAGTTCACCTCAAGGACAAGAGACAGGTTGTGTTATGGTTTGTGGAAGTCACTTCCTGTTTTTCTGGTGTTCCCCCTGGATTCCCCATCACTCCCTGCCTGTCATGTACTGGCCAGCGTAATTATTCATCACTACATCCACATCGAAACTGTGGACCCGCCAAGGAGCAGGGATGGAGGAGGCAGCTGAAGCATCTTCCTCAGCACACTGAGAAGTGGGGACCCCTCCTAGTCCCTTTTACCCTTTTACCTTTAGTGTGCCGACAAATGCATCCCCGCCGAGGTCTCCACCTCTCAGTGTGTTGACAAAGATGCTCCAGCCGTCTCCTCCATTC